CATTTCTTCAGTCTCAAGCGCTCTTCCATCATCTTCTATGACCTTGCCTGCTTTGGTTGCCATTGTTGCACATTTGTCAATTCTTATTTATTATTTGTCAATCATCATCATCATCATCATCTCGTTTATTCATTAAACATGAAACTCAGGCAACTGAACATTCAAAAACGCTTCACAAATACCATTGACTGGTGTTACCCTGTTTCCCTGAAAACAAGACCTCCCCGGATAATAAGCCCAATCAGGCTTTTGAGTGCATGTGCTAAAATAAACCCACCCCCGAAAATAAGTCCTCCCCAAAAGTATTGCAACACAGGCAGCAGCCATGGAGTGACCATGCTCGCCGCCTCCTGCACCTCAAAAATAATAAGACCACCCTGAAAATAAGGCCAAGTGCTTATTTTGGGGGTCAAAAGAAATAAGACCCTGTCTTATTTTCAGGGAAACATGGTAATGGTTGATAGGGGTTGCTGCTAGTGTCCTAGGTATCAACCAAATATCTTCTTAAGATGTACGATGTTCTGAGTAGCACAGGTTTTTTTGCGATTCCTCTGGTTGTTATTGCAGGATGCTGCAATTTCCTGATGTGTTTTATAAAATTCTTGGACATTGTGCCAAGTGCCCCGATGACAATGGTATCACTGTTACATGTTTCATCCATAATCAGGTAGTTTCGATGGCCAGGTCACGGTATTTCATGATTTATTTCAGTTCTTTTTCTTCGACTCTGGCATCTCCTGGTACCGTGATGTCCATAAATTGTACAACCATGGTATCTGGTGTGTTGTGTTACAAATGATGATCCATCTGTAAAATAATAACAACAACAATTTCTTCTCCTCTTCCTTGTCCTCCTCCTCCTCTCCCCCCTCCTCCTCCAAAATAGTGGCAAACCTCTGTCCATTCTGGTATGGCTCTGTTCCTCACCTGATTTTATAAATTATTTAAATTGATTAAATGCTATGAAACCAAGGACCAACTTCAAACATCACATTCATGTTAAAAGTGCTCCTGGCTCTTGCATGGATTTGCATTAGTGTGTGAAAAATGTTAACAATAAACGGATGGTGTATAAGTGTTGCTTGGATTTATTCAGAAAAAAATGCTAAAGGAAGGATACATTGGAAGACAACATCTTGAGCAACTAAAAGGGGTGGCAGCAAGCATCTTTGTCTACTTATTTCACTGATTGGCATACTTGGCAGCTTTAAGATGTGTGGATTTAAACTCCCGGAATTTCTCAGCCACCAATGCTGGCTGGGGGATTCTGAAACTTGAAGTCTTAAAAGGTGCCAGATCTGAGAAACAATTTATTTTTTAATAAATTGATATTTAGGACGAGTCATGACTTTTGTAGAAGCTATTTTGAGAAAATGGCCTTTAAATGTGCTCAAATATGTCATTTACGTCCTCTCCCCTGCCATAGATCCCAAAATACAGAAAAGAGTTGTAATCAACTATTGAGATACTTTGCACTTTTCTCTTAAAGGGACAGGGCACACATTCTAAAACCATCCTACTCTCCATGCCAGGCTCTCTCTAACGTTAGAGGGCGCCACTCAGATTTCTTTCCCACTTCAATATGCTGAAATGCAGCGCTCTTCGCACCCCCATTCCCCCCTCCTTTTTGCCCAGGATGTGAAACAGAAGACTATTAATGCGCTCATTTTTCATCATCAGTATAACGCAGTGTTTCTTTAATTGGCGACTTTTTAAGATCTCTGGACTTCCAACTCCCAGAGCTCTCCCGATGGCTGGGGAATTCTGGGAATTGAAGTCCACACATCTAAAAAATTGCCAGGGTTGAGAAAGCATCAGCGCAGAATTTCTGCGCCGGGATGTCTCCCCCCCTTTCACTCCAATTCCAACGGGGGGGGGAGGAATCCCGGCTTTTTTCGCTGGAGGGTGCTGTTGCAGTTTGCAAAGTTAGCGACGGGGACTGGCAGAACTGGCGAGAAGCCGCGCTTGCAAGTCCGCTTTCTCCCTGGCACCATCGCCGAAACCTCTCCGTGGGTTCGTCCGTTCTGCGAGGACCGCCGCTTAAAGTAGATGGGGAACACCTGAAGCTGCGCCAGAGTCGTAAGAATATCCCGGGGGTGGTGGTGGTCGCAAGCCGAGTGGACGGGTGGGTGCAAAACGGGCGGGAAGACGCAAGGTTGGTCGCTTCTGCGGGAGCGCGTCTAAGTAAGGGCGCTACGTGCTGACCGGGGCTGTTCACGAACTGCAGTATATCTTCTTGACTTGAATTTTCCCGCTAGTAACACAGCGGAGAAAAGAACGCCTTTTAAGAGTTTTCCCTTCACCCCCCCCCCCACTTTTAAAGCTGATTTTTTTTTAAAATAAGCGTTTTAAAACAACCTAACTGGGGAGGGTCTCGCCTCCCACCTATCTAAGATATCGGACCCAGTTGGAGTTCTGGAATCGAACTGCTTCCAAGGAGCCTGCCAGTTCTTCTAAGAGGCATATAAAAAGGACAGATTGATGAATATGATGATGGAAAATGATATTGACCTTATATTCCCTTTCTCCTTATTTATCCCTGTGCATTGGAAAAGGCAAAACTTTCCTTCTCTTGCTTGCCTTCCTACATTTTATACGGGAAAAGAATGAAATTTACCCACAGGTTTATTTATAGAAAGGTGGTTTAGATTCAGGCATCCCGTTTACAGGGTTAGAAAATGAGTCATAAAGATGAGCTGAGTCTTCAAACCATCTTTTTGCTCAGTTGTGGGTAATGCTGTTAGCATGAAGTGTGGTAATCCTAAGGAACCTGAAGCTGTTCGGCAACTAATTCTTGTGTTCTTGCCTCCACTTCCCTACCAACAGTAATTTTGGATCTTCTGTACCCCACAGCTGTTTTTGATAAGAGCAGATTGTATCATAAAATGAAATGGTGGAAGCTTACTTAGCATGCAGAGCTGCATAAAGAACTTTACATTTTTGCCTGTTTTGCACAAACTTCCATACAGTCGTAGAACCAGAAGGGATCTCAGGTCCTCTAGTCTGGCTCCCTACTTGATGAAAGATCTGCTAAATCAGGGGTGTCCAAACTTGGGGACTAGCTGAGGAATTCTAGGAGTTGAAGTCCACAAGTCTTAAAGTTCCCAAGTTTGGACACCCCTGTGCTAAAGCATTTCAGGTAAATGGCTATCCAGTCTCTGTCTGAAGATCTTCAGGGAAAGGAATGGATCATTTCACAAGGCAACTTAGAAGAGTTTTTCAGTGGAGAAATTACTCTTGGGTCTGCTTCTGTGCAGTTTCAAACCATTAGATGTAGTCCTGCCTCCCAGAGCAAACCTTCTTCTGTTTGATAACTCCTTGGATATCCGAAGGAGGCTACTGAAATTCCCCTAAATCTTTAAAGGAACACGCCCTGTTCCTTTAACTGTCAGGGCTTGCTTTTCAGTCCAATCACCTTCTTGATGGCCTTCTTGATGATCTGAACATGTAGCTGAACTCTACATACTTTGTTGATGTCCTTTCCTTTGTAGATTGCAGTTCCCAAAACTGGATCCAGTGCTCTCTCATCAACCTAACATAGAGACCTGCCCAAGGTGGAGTAATATGTGGCAGATCTGCCCTGTAAGCAAGACACTGTGTTCCTCCTGTTAATACTCCCAAAATAGCAATACCTTTCTCAGTAGCTGCATTGCACTGTTGGCTCATGTTTAGTTTATAATTTGTTAGAATATCTAGATTCTGTTCACACAAACTACTCCCAAGCCAGATCTCCATCCTCTATGCTTTTCATTTCTTCTCCCCACATGTAGGATTTTGTATTTTCCCCTCTTAAATTCAGTCTTGTCTGTTTTAAACTCCATATTTTTCAGAGTATAAGATGCACCTCCCCCCACAAAAGAGGGTGAAAATCTGGGTGCATCTTATACACTGAATACAATGTTTTTGGCCTCCTGAAATCCTGCCCCCTTCACAAAAATGGGCATGCAGAGGGTTTGGGAGGCCTGCAAGGTGCTCCTGGGAGTTGGGGAGGGCAAAAACAAGTGAAAAATGGGGCGGTTTTTTGCTTGTTTTTGCCTCCCCAGCCCCCAGGAGCACTTGGCAGGCCTCTCAAACTCTGCATGCCCCGTTTTTCACAAAGAATGAGGTGTGAAGAGGGTTTGGGAGGTCTGCAGAATCAAAAACTTTTTTAAAAAGTTTAACTCTTCAAAATCTTGGTGTGCTTATACTACGGTACGTTTTATACTCTGAAAAATACGGTACTATTCAGAGCAGCCTAGTCCTTTTTTGAACCTTCATTTACTGTTCTGAAGCATTACCTATCCCTCCTAGTTGTGTCTCACATACAGTCTTGATCATACTCTCCTTAATCCTTGCTTTGGTCCAAGTCAGTAATAAAAATATTGAACAGTCCGTGGCCCAGGACAGAACTTCATGGCACTGTATTTGATGCAAATCTTCAAGCTGATATGGAACCATGTATAAATACACTTTGGGGTGGGTGGTATCATTCAGCCACTTATGAATACATATAATGGTTGTATCATCTAACCCAGTGGTCCCCAACCTTTTGAGCATCAGGAACCGGTTCCATGGAAAACAATTTTTCCATGAATTGGGAGGAGGGTGGTTCACACACTACCTAGATCCTGTGCAAATGCAGATGAAGCTTCTTTCACTTGCCCGGCCCAGTTTCTAAAAGGCTGAGGATCTGCAGTCTGAAGGTTGGATACCCCTGAACTAACCTATATATTAGGTAAAGGTTCCCACACACATGTGTTAGTTGTTTCCAGTTCTAGGGGCAGTGCTCATCTCTGTTTCTAAACTGAAGAGCCAGTGCTTTCTGAAGACATCTCTGTGGTCATGTGGCTGACATGACTAAAATGCCAAAGGCGCATGGAGCGCTGTTACCTTCCCACCAAAGTTGTCCCTATTTTACTACTTGCATTTTTTACGTGCTTTCGAACTGCTAGGTTGGCAGAAGCTGGGGCAAGTAAGGGGAGCTCACTCCTTTAGGCGGCGCTAGGGATTCGAACCGCTGAACTGCCGATCTTCTGATCATTTTAGCCACCGGGCCACCGCATTCCTAACCTATATATTACAGTGTTATTAATGAGGATGTCATAAGAAGTTTTGTCAAATGTCAAGTTCTCATTACTACTCAAGTGCTCAAAAACATGTTTGCTGAAGGACCTTGCCCAGCATCAACATCAAGTTGGTCTTCTGTTTTTCCTTTTTTGAAGATAGGAAGATCATTTGCCCTACTTTAGTCTTCAGGCATCTTGTTCACGATTCTGTTTGGTCACATCTGCTAGTTTCTTCATTACCCTAGGATATAGCTCATCTCTCCATGGAGACTTAGATCAATGATACCATTTAAGGGTTCTTTTACCCTCTCCTTGTCTATCTTGAGCTGTTACTTCCTTCTTCAACTAGAGGTACTGTGAAGGCCAACTAGGGTTTTCATTTCCCTTCTGAGAGTGGACAGATGTAAAATACAAGTTAAGACAATCTGACATCTTACTATTACCTATCGCTTGCTTGTTTCTGACATCTGTGATTAGATTTTCCTGAAAGTGTTCATAAAAGCTGATCGTAACTCTCTCATTCTTCAGGTTTCCTCCTAAAAATGACATTTTTCCTGAGGTTTAAGGATCTTTCTTTGTGGGCATAATATTCAGGTGGCAATTTAATCCATTCAAAATTTCTATATCAAAGAAAAGACATGTGAAATTACCACCAACTTTCAACAGTTGGCAGGTAACAAAAAGTATAACTAAATAAAGATAAAGAGAGTATGTAAACCATATTTAGAGGCTCTGAACATGTTCTTTTGGGGCACTCTGACCCTGAGAAAGCTATAAATGTCTCTCTCTATAGAATTGGCAGAGAAAGGAGGAGTTTTATGGGGAGAAACTATTGCTAAAATCTTTCTATCAATGCTCAGATAGAAACTGAGTTGTTTCTCATCAGAATATAGGACCGTATGAATTAAAAAGTCTCACACGGACCTGTGAGCTGGGCTTACAATACTGCTTTCTGAGATTCAATAATTTGCATGGATATGAACAAATGCTAGGCATTGAAACTGCTAGTCACTTGCTTTGCGACCTTCAGGATAGGGGTCCCAGTTCAGTTATAACCATTTGCACAGTCTTCTACCAAGATTTGGAATTTTAGCCTGTTTCTGCACACAAGCTAAATGCAGAGAGATCCAGGACTAAAAAGGAAGAACACCCTTTCTTTACACAGCACGTAGTTTCATCATTTATTTATGGTCCGAAACTAATATTTCAAAGAAGAGGATATTACAATACATCAAATATAAAACAGTGACATACATTTTTTTTTAATAAAAAAAATAGAATTTGTACAGAAAAGCCAGAAGCAATTAACAGTCTAGGGCATCAGATGATTCATGCAGGTCATGGCTATTGTTAAAAATTTAGTAACTTTATTAGAAATAGCTGAAGTCTGTTTAGGAGAAAAACGATGACCTGCTCAGTGGATGTGAAGGTATTATGAGTTCTAACATCCATTTATTGTATAGTACAATATGTACATGTGAAACAGATATTACTTCTGTATCAGAACATATACAAGGGTAGTCTCTTTAATCACATATCTATAATACAAGTTAATTACAGTTACATGTAATTTTATGATTTGGCCAATCTGCTATGTGAAATATGGGAAAAGATAAAAAGGGATCTGGGAATGGAACAGGGGAGTGTGGCTATTATGGGGTAATGGAAGTGGGAGATCTGCTTGGAGATTTAAGCCTCATATCCTTAGCAAAAGGGCAACTATAATTTATCAAGGGTGCGACCAACTAATGCCAGAAAAGAAAAACCTCAGAAAACCAGGTAAAGATTTATTTGTTTCTTTAGGGAAGATTCACACCTGTCTGATAAAGTAAAATGAACCAATGATGTTCTTTTAAGATAAAATCTTAGGTGGGCTCCAAAGGAGATGCAGCCAACTGGATAAGGTGGACTAAGAGACTCATATTATATTATTATATAGCCTTTACAATTTTGGATTAGGTAGCTTCTATCTTAAAAGCATCCTTATAAAAACCTAACTGGGCGCCATATACATTGAGCCCAGTATTTTAGCCT